ATAAACAGCACTAAAATTATCCAAATTCGTATTCAAAGTAGAATCACACTTACTAGTAGCACCAAATACAAAACTCGCATTGTTAACCGGGTTAACCCGATTAAACTTCAAATCCTTCGGGTCCACATTTTGAGTACCCGATTGTTTCCTCATCTTCACGAGCCTCGGCTTTCGCCTTGATCGACCCGAACCCGGTTTGCAATCAAAACCTGCATCGAACTTAGAGCTATTAGGATTAACGTTAGAGTTAAATGATTGAACGGAGGAACTGATCGGAGAATGAAAATCGGCGGCGGCCGACGACATAATCCAACGATGATGAAGGGTTTTGAGGTGCGAATGAATATCGCGAATTTGGGGATTTATGGTTTTTTGATTTTTTTTGGATGAATTCCAGGAATAGTTTTTGCTTGGTAATGAAGAAAAGGGAAATCTTTGAGAGAGTTGAAAGAGACTGTTGTGAGTGTTCTGGGTTTTTGTAGAGAGAGAGAGAGAGAGAGAGAGAGAGCGGGGTATGGGGGTTTAGGTTGGAGTTTGAAATTGTTGGTGGATTGGAGGCCGTTTTTAGGATCCTATTTAAGAAATAATATAAATTATTACAAAATTTAAAGTTTGTGATTTTAAATACAATATTTATTTTAATTATGTCACGATTTAACTAAGATGAAATATATTAAGTGCATAATATTATAAAATTGTATTAATTACTACCACACGGATCTGGAGTCACAATTCACGAGCATTCTATAATTTATTACAAGTAATAGTTTGAAAGAAATACAACTGTCTGAATGAAAGAAAACAGTAGGACATAAAAGACAGACGGGGACCTCAAGGTCTATGAACGCCGACAGATCTACCTTGAGTCTCCGGACAGCGGACCAATAGCAAAAACTCGATCAACCTGAGCCGGTACCAAAATCTGCACATAAAGTACAGAGTGCAGCATCAGTACAACCGATCCCATGTACTGGTAAGTGTCGAGCCTAATCTCGGTGAAGTAGTGACGAGGTTAGGATAACACACCCACATATAATCTGAACAGTATAATCATGCCAGTGACAACAACAGTAAATAAAAAAATAACGCAAAAATAACGGGAAAGGGGACATATAGTGAGGGAATACAATATAAAGAGTGAGAATAATGAAAAGACATAATTAAACCGAAAATCCTTAAACGAATTGAGCAAATAAAACAGCAAAAGAAAACTACACGGCATCACCCTTCGTGCTTTTACTCTCAACCTCACCAAATAAATAAATAGAACGGCACTGCTTCACCCCTCGTGCATTAAACCTCTCATAATATACACGGCATCACCCTTCGTGCTTTATCACTCACAAATCATGGCACTACATCACCCTTTCGTGCATTAACACTCACATATCACGACACGGCATCACCCTTTGTGCTTTACACTCTTCCTCGTAATATAAATAATGCATGCACGGCATCACCCTTCATGCTTTACACTCATCCTCACAAATTACAGAATCAATAACAACTGATAGATATGAGTATCACAAAGAAACCAGTATTTTGCCCATAATCAATAGCACAATGTAACCTCAACTTTGAATCAATATTCGAAAGTTACCAAATCTCAGTGAAAATAGATATAAGTCACCCAACATTTCAAATAACCCGCTAAGCATGGATAGTAGAATTTAAGGCTACAAAACAGACAAGAATGTAATTTTACTCGCAAGTTATGACTCGACAACGACACATAGATGCTCGTCACCTCACCTATACATCGTATTTAACAACCAAACACGTAGCAAATAAAAACATAATACCTATTCCCTGAAGCCAAAGTTAGACACGACACTTACCTCGATTCGCAGGCCACTCATTGCTCAAGTACCATTTTTCCCTTAGAATTCACCTCCAACTCACTCGTATCTAGTCACAAATAGCTTAATACCATCAATTATCGCTAAAGGAATCAACTTTAATGAATAATTACAGATTTCCAAAATTTTCTCAAAAAAAAAAAAAACCACCCCTGGGGCCGCTTGGTCCAAACTCGAGGTTCGGACCAAACTCCGTTTACCCATTCACCCTCGAGACCGAATATGTCATTAGTTCAGGAATCCGACCCCAAATCGAGGTCTAAATTCCCAAATTTACAAAATCTCTAATTCTCCTAAAATTCCTAATTTCTACCCTTAAAGAACAAGATTTAGGCCTAGAAATCTAGTGGGTGTTGATGGAAATTGAAAGGAATGAGTTTAATAATATGAACCTATGATTTGGTGTTGAATTCTCACTTCAAAAATTGCCCAAGGTTGAGTTCAAGCGAAGAAAATATAAAATTTTGAACAAATCTCGTTTTTGAAGTCTGTTTTAAAACACTGGAGAGGTTTTCACCGCGTTCGCGAGAGGCCTGTCGCGATCGCGATGCACAGTGACCTAAGGCCTTCGCGTTCGCGAGTCTTTCTACGCGTTCGCGTAAGGTAGCTCCCCTCAAGCCTTCGCGTTCGCGACCCAATGGACGCGTTTGCATAGAAGAACATGACCCCCTCCCCAGGTCCCTTAAACTATCGCGTTCGCGTGAGACTGATCGCGTTCGCGAAGTGCACCACCCCCAATGCTTCGCGTTTGCGACCAGTCCTTCGCGTTTGTGAAGAAGAAAATTCCCCTGCCCCCATTTTACCTTTCACGTTCGTGACACTACCTACACGAACGCGAAAAAATGGCACACCAGAACAGTTGCTGCAATAAAATCTCAGATTTTCTAAGTGCAAATCACCCCGTAGCCTATCCGAAACTCACCCGAGCCCTCGGGGCTCCAAATCAAGCATGCGCACAAGTCTAACAAAATCATACAGACTTGTTCGTGCGATCAAATCGCCAAAATAACACCTAAAACTACGGATTTAGCATCAAAATCAATGAAATTCTCAAGAACACTTAAAGTTAGTATTTTCTCAATCGAATATCCAAATCACGTCATTTAAACTCCGTTTCTCACCAAATTTCACAGACATAGTTCATATATTATAGCGGACCTGTACCGGGCTCCGGAACCAAAATACGGGCCCGATACCATCAAAATCAAGCATTAAGCATATACTTTAAAACCAGTAATTTTCTCAAATTCAATTTTAGTCAGAAATTCATTTCTCGGGCTATGGACCTCGAAATTCGATTTCGGGCATACGCCCAGATCCCATATTTTATTACGGGCCCACCGGACTGTCGGAACACGGGGCCGGGTCCGTTTACACAAAATATTGACCAAAGTCAACTAAAAATCAATTTTAAATTCCAACAATTATTATTTCTCCTATATTTTCACATAAAGGCTTTCCGGAATTACGCTCGGACTGTGCACGTAAATCGAGTAGGATAAATATAAGATTTTAAAGGCTAACGAGCGTGGAATAAAGTCCTAAAATACAAGATGACCCCTTGGGTCATCACAGATTGTTACTTAAAATTTATTATATCGCTAAAACCATCGTTATGTAACGACAAAAAAGTCACTTTATAGAACCACATATTTGGTGTGATGACTTTTTTTCTCTTATCTTGCCCTTCCTCATTATTAAATAATCATATTTTATCCTTTACCTTACTTTTATATATAATAATTTTACTATGTATCATGTTTTTTCTTACTAATATTGCAAATTTATTCTTCGTGTTTTTGGTACATAACATCATGAAACGATAACAAACGATACAATTTATCCAAACGTTGTATTCATCAAATAATACAATATAATACGATACATTATGAAATGACATATACAACAATCCAAACAAAATGTGCGAATTTAATGCTGAAATTATCATAGGTTTCATGTTTAGACACTCGAGTTTGAAGTTGAACTTTGTCAAAGCCTAACTTGAACAGTTTAATCTAAAGTTTGCTAAAACTGGTCAATCCTTTAAGTATTGTTTAAAACCTAGATATAATTTAACTAGCTTATTATAAACGGATATCTAGAGTCATTTCTACGTTAAGCAACAACATTTTGGTAGTCATTTGAAAGTTTATTTTCTTCAAATTTTTAACAATTGTGTTTTCATGATAGTAAGGTGCTCCCCTTTATTTGAATACCCATTTACGGCTTTGATTGTTAAGTTGTAAGACAGAAATAAGTCGATTGTCATCATTTCAAAAATCAGGTTTTCAGTCTTTTGTTCGAGAGATTTAATTAGTTCATCGAGTAATCTAATATAAATATCAAATTTTTCTAAAAACACAAAATGTTAATGCTTGAATATATGCTTTTCTAAAAATGATATTTGGTCATTTTTATTCGCGAGATTGCTACACAACAACAACAACAACAACAACATAGCTTTAATAAGTGTTTCTACACGACTAATATAAATAGCTTTAATGGATATGATAAGTTTTTCAATTTCTACACCAAGCAAATAGCAAAACAGTTATTCTTACAAAAGCAAGAAATATTAACTTGATTTCTTAACTTATATTCTCCATTTTATAAAAGAAATCTCCACTTCGGTTAAAACAAAAAACAATAAGGAGAACGCCAAATTAGAAAACTTATGTGTTCGAGATTCTAATAGTTTTAAGTTACGGTTCTAAATTAATAATTTATATATATTTAATAAAATTATACAGAGTTTGAACCAAAGCTACCGCATTCGACCAAAACCATAAGCTATTCTCTGGCTCCGTAAATTGGGATCAACTATATAAATACTCACTGATTTTATTTCTTTATTTAAGTTTATCATAGATTAACATTTTATAAAAATAGTTGTTTATTTTTACTGATATAAAATTTATAAAAGAGCAAAAAGTTATAAACAAAAAAAAAACGGTTGGGATATGATAAATCACTTAACACTTGGACCAATACAATGTGCACAAATCAAGATTGGCCTTTGGGGCAAACAGAATCCAATTCATAAAGTTAGCAGTGCATTACATAAAGACAAATTTACGTGTCCTCTATTCCTCTAGGACACGTATTTTTTTGTACTGTCAACTCAATAACTCAACTCTAGCATAATAATTAAAAAAAAAAACAGTGCTCAAGAATTCCATAACATAGTGCCACAGAATAGCAGAATAGTTGATATTGGAATTTGGAGACACCCTTTTGCTTATGCTTCATCTTGGTTAGTCTTTTAATCCCTTTCAATCTTTTTGAAACATACAGTTAAATTGTTTTATAAAAATCAATAGGTGCATTAACATAGCCAAGAATGGTTTTTCTTCTTAAATTTGTTTCTTTTTACTGTTTGTTGATTGCTTGTGTTGGTTGTTCTGCTTCCTCGCTGTTGTTACTGTTTTCCTGACTTTTATACTACTGTATTTCTTCTTTATACTGTTGTTGTATTTGCATGTTTGCTTGGAGCCGAGAGTCTACCGGAAACAACCTCCTTACTCCAACAAGGGTGGGATAAGGTTGCGTACACACTATATTCCCCGTACCCTTATTTATGAGATTACACTAGGTTTGTTATTGTTGTTGATTATTTTGTGAGCATTGCTCGATGTATAACTTGTTTTCTTGTGATGGTTCTAGCTATGTCTTCACAGTCTTGCTATATGAGAGATTGGATTAATTCTTTCTAAATTGCTAGCTTATGTTGAAGACTTGCCTAGTTGGGAATATATTTTAGCCATGTTAATACGTCTACTTTAGGTCCTATGCTTTCGCTCTGCCAGGCACCTGGACAGGGGTTAGCTCTGTAAATGTGTAGAGCCAAGTGTAGTGTGGTGTAGTAGTAGGGGGTCTTTTAGCCCTATTGGAGATTCGAATGTCAGTATGAAATATAGAAAACTTATACTAGTACTTTTTTATTTTATTTTTATAATATTGGATTGATGAAGTTAAATGTGGAACATGATCAGTGAGGATTCATATAGCAGGTCTCAACTTATTTGGTATTAAGGCGTAATTGTTTGTTGTATGTTGATGACTTGCCTAGTAGTTTATGCTTTACTTTTTGGGCGGAGGGAGGGTGGGATTGAGAGATCGTTAGTGTTTTGGAGCGGTTGAACTTATCTTGAAAGATTCATACAACATGGTTTCTTGATGTAGTGTTTGATTCTGTAGTTATATGTGTTACTCTTGGTGACTTGTTTAAAAAATGACTGGAATTGGTAATCAGTAGATTTTAGACTTTTGGTTCCACGTTACGTCTTCTGTTTGTCTTTTTTGAGAGTGAAGACAATAAAAAGCGTGAGTAATGGAATTTAGTAACAACAATCATTTGGTTTTCCAACTTCAGTCTTGATCTGGAAAATATTGAGAATTATATTGCCTCTTCTCTTCCTCATTTCTTGGGCTGTTTAGTACAGTTTGTCATAGTTTCTTGTCCTTTGATTGTAATAGATGCTTTTGCTGTAACAGGGTTGTTGAAGGTTTTCTCGAGCGGTTGTGAACTGGTGAAGATATTTGCTAGCGGAAATCTTATCTTCTGTGTTAATTTAAGGCAGAATGGACCACAATAATCTTGGAACTTCTCAAGGTATTTCAACTTGTTACCGTGCATGCCTTGTCTCCTAACAATATATCTGTTTTGCTGAAAGAAATTAGTTTTATGCATAGGTTTGTGCTATTTTAAGTTTCAAAACAGATCAGAGAATCGTATCCGTCTTTTGGTTTCTGCAAGAGGTTGTTGAACTAATGGTTTTCGTGAAAGGTATATCATTGGAAAAAGATAATCAAATCATTCAAAGACATAATGTTCATCAGAAAAATAGTTAAAGTACATAATAATGTGGTGGAAAGGAGTAACATAGCATCAGAGCCCAAAAAATTGCATAGGCAAAATCGTAAAACCAACTTGAACATTCCTTAAAGCGTATATAGATATTACTTTTTATGGAGCGCGACAAATTTAAGACGTAGGATCTTACTCAAAGTTAAGTGTAGCAGTCTTCTAGAGCAGGTGACATAATCAAAGCAGAGGAAGGGATTTCGATAAAATTTTGCACGTACTTCACATATTCTGAGAATGAAGTCCATCATCATAATATAAAGGGTAAATGGCACTTGCAAAACATGTCGGCATTGGGATGATTATCCATAAGATTATGAAACGTCCTTTGCTTATTTATTAAGCAGGAAACGGTGTATCCACTTGGTTCAGAAACTGGCAAAATGTTCACTTCAGCAAGAGTAAATAATGTCCTGCAGAACGGAAAGAAACAGTTTTTGATTTACTTTCTTCTCTCCAAAGAGAAATAAGATACTCGTGTCTCACTCTCTTTTTTAGTTAAGTTTTTTTCCTTAGTCAGGACTCAGGAAAAACAGAGTTGAGGCACAACACTGTGACAGTGAAGAGGGCTCTTGCTCGGTGTGCTGTTGGAATTGTTATCTCTATGTCAGTATATAACCATAAAGTTATTGGACAATTCGTTACTCACTTTAAGTTCTGGAAAGTATTGTCCCAACAAACTGTCCGAGCGAGCTTTCCTTAGGAAGATTTAAAGCTTGGTAAATTTGATAAACTTCGCTCAAACACTTGTGAACTCCAATTCTTTGTTGACTGGATCTCTTTAACCAAATAAGAAAACTGGTAATCACAATTTACATCCTTGATTTGTCATGCGCCTGAAGACGGCAATATTTTCTTGATTGAAGATGAAAGGTCAATGGACAGAAATTCAGAAGGAGATGCAATAAGTAAAGAATAAGTACCAGATATTGGGCTTAACAACATTTCTAAATGCCAACCTTGAAGGTATCAAGAACTTAGTTCATCCTAAATTCAGTAATTTTTACCTTTTCTGGAAAAAGAAAGGAGAAATAAAAACTTGGATCATTCTTTTTGTGGAAAGAGAAGCTTTAGCATAGTTTCTGAGGAAAGTGTACACTTTTTTCTGTATATCATCTTTTCATGATTTTTCTTGTTAACACAATGTATGAGGCGTTCCGAAACTTTGCAATCGTCTAATTAGATGATAATAGATTGCCTATGATCTTAATCAATTCCAAACGTTGCAAATGCGCATGATGTCTTGCCCTGAAATGATGGATCTTTAACTGCAGCAATTAAGAAAGATTATAGCATTAAGAATGAAAGCAGTGAATCCAATCAAAAACTGCATAAGGCTTCAGGGGAAGTGACATCTGAAGGGAATCAAGGTCAAGGTGGTAGGAATGTCGCAGGCGATGTAGCTCCACGACATGTGAATTCTCAAGGCGAAGTAAATATGGAGGCAGATATCACTATGGATGATGTTATAAGAGCCGGAGGTCTAGGAGCAAGAGACGATTTAAATAGTGTTCTTCCTATCGCAACCGATACCACTGACTTGGAGGCTTCTATTCGTGATGCTTGGGACTATGAAGGACCACGTGAAAGCATTAAGCGACCGGGCCTTGGCTGGACAGAACCTGCAAAGAAGTAAATCTATCCACACTACAACTTAAGGTGGACTTCTGAGGTGTTTTCCAGTTTTACTAGAACTCTTAGACTCTCAGCTCTCGACTGAACATGCATTGAATTTGTCTTACAGTTTGTTCAAGCAATAAGTTCTATCCTAGTGTATGAAATTAATGATCAATCACGATGGACATTTTCGTTAATATGCTTAGTTGTCAATCTGTTATTGCTCCTTTGTGCACTTCTCTATTTGACGTATCTTGTTGTGTTTGAGATGGTACTAGGAAACATAGTAGAAATTCCATATTAAAAGTTCTTTTGTGAAATGAAAATTTCAATCGTGGGTCGAATCTTACTGAATCTTTAATGAGTTCTGCTAGGCACAAACATTAGATTCATTGCTAGTTTCAAGTATTCATGTACAAAGATAGTTCGTTCCGAAAAGAATGCTACAATGCTTCAACATTGTTACATGTGTACACTATGGAGGAGCATTATAGCCATAGATCTATGTAAAAGAACTCTATATAGCTATTTATTTTTCGGAAGAAGTCATTGTTGTTGAACGCCTGATGCTCTTCTAAAAATTCTCTGGCCAGGAGCTAGGATAGCCAAAGGGTCATATGTAGATTTCCTCCTTTTAAATGTTTCCCACTGGGGACCAAAGTGACCTTTCCAGTCTTCCTGCGTTGTGTAGTGTGGCAAATACTGTTTCATTCCAATATGTGCTTTTCTGCAAAAGTTTAGTATCTTCTTATTCTTATTTAGAATATATTCTACGCCGTCCTTTCCTGTTGAAGATGGCATGGCAGAAGATAGAAATGCTATTAGATACATAACATCTTCTTCAGGTGTAACTACTGATGTTCCTTTTCTCCACCTGCAACACAAAATGATCATAGATCATGTTAGGAAAATGCATATATCCTTAATAAGAAGATTAGTTGAGTGATGATGATTTCAGTACTTTGATTTGTTGACTGGGTAGATGAGTATAGGACCGTGGCTAGTGTCGGTAAGTATCTTCCCAAAAACTTCTCGTGCAAAGTCATGAATCTTGCTCTTTGGAATTAGAAGGTTTAGCCATGGATGAGGAATATCCCATAACCCCTTCTCTTGAAGTTTCATCTCGGATACGTGAACTCTGTCGAGGAAATCCACGTAGGATACTTCTGATTGGAACAGCGTCGATTGGATATAATTCAACTTTGATAAAAGAACATCAACATTCTGTAATGTTAAGAAAAACAAGAGTCAAGATATGGACATGTTTAGGTGAACATTTTTGCAAAGTTGTCAAAAGCTAGAAGCTACCATATGACCAAGAGGTCACGGGTTCGAGCCGTGGAAACAACCTCTTGCAGAAATGTAAGGTAACACTACGTACCCTTGTGGTCCGGTCCTTTCCCAGATCCCACGCATAGCGGGAGCTTAGTGCACTGGCCTGCCTTTTTGTCAAAAGCTAGAAGCTTAAAATGACTTTAAAAATATCTTACCTGATCAGTTTTGGTTGTCTCTTCTGGATTGAAGTATTTGGCAACTTCTAGGCAGTACAGAACTTTTCCCTCAGAACTGAACTCTTTGGCTAGAAGTGGATCTTTAGGATTGAAAGTAGACCTCCAGTTGTTTAACAATCCTGTTCTATTGATAATGACAAATCCTTCTATATAGTCAAAAGAGTTCTCGGATGATATCAAGTGTTCTTGATCATAGGAAAATGTGGAGAAATCTGAATACAGCACTCTGATCCACTTTACCTGTAAATAATTGAACTTTAATAGAAATTACTGGACTTGTTTTCTTTTTATTTTTTTAAAATCTTATTCTAATTAATGTGAACGGAGCTTTGGCGTAACTTGCAAAGTTGTTGCCATGTGACCAAGAGGTCATGAGTTCGAGTCGTGGAAATAGCCTCTGGCACTGCGTATAATAGATCCTCCCTTCCCCGGACCCCGCGCATAGCGGGAGCTTAGTGCACCGGGTTACTCTTTATTCTAATTAATGTTAACTTATTTGATATTTGGAGTTGGAAAAATTACCTTTTTAGGTGCTGGTTCAAGAGCAATTCTAGCCCTTGTGATGATACCAAACTGGCCTAGTCCTCCTAATACACCATAGAACAGGTCAGCATTCTTCTCCTCTGAACAAGTAATCACCTCTCCTTTACCTATGCAAGAATGTATTATTAATAACCTCAAAGCAATATAATATGTGGCGATCCAACTTACAAAATGGAGGGATGTGAAATTTTCCAATAGTTATAGTTGATTATCCAAAAGTTAGATTAATCAAAAGAAAAAAAGTTGATGACTTGTTGTAACAAAATTGCCTTCCGCTGTAGACTTTCTTGAGTCCAAGTCCACAATGTAAACACTTTAACTGATTAGTCTGACTTCTAGGTGTTGATTTGGTACTCAGTTGGAATATAATAGAGGCATCATTTGACTTAAATACACTAGTGTAAAGAATGTTTACACTATATGTATATTTTAACCTATTGTAACATGTAACTTGCCTAATTTTTTCAGGTTGCTAATTTCGCTTTTTTGTACTATCATCACTGTATAGAACTTAAACTCAAAATAAAATGGGAAGATTAAACTCTCCCCGCACGACTACTTTCTAATGAATGCTTGATACTATGGAAACTGGGGAATAATAAGATTGTTGTGCATGAACATACCAGTGACAACCTCAAGTTGGTAAACATTATTGATCTGTGGTCCATGTTTGAATGCTTGACCACTGATTCCGGCATTCGACAAAGTCCCTCCAACGGTGAGGTGAAGATAATCAGTCCAAGATTTTGGTGTTAATCCAAGTTTAAGACTTTCATGCAGGATGTTTATCCAAAGTTCTCCTGCAGAGACATCAACAAAAGGCAGTTCTTGATTCCCTGTGTGGAAACGCATTGCTGGCGCTCGAAGCGATTCCATATTGATCACTACTCCTTGGTAAGCTTGAGCTTGGCCTTCTAGAGAATGACCATGACCTCTAGCAGCAACAGTTAGGTCTGTAGTAACACCCATGTCAAAAACATGTTTTATGGTAGATGATATATCAGAAACTGATTTTGGATACAGAACTGCCGATGGCAAGAAGTGATATCTGTTGCCAAAGTCTTTGGCCGCGTGATCGAAATTCTTGAAACTAAAATACCCTTCAATATTTAACTGTTTCAATGATGATTGAATCACTGAAAAACTTGAAGGGGTAGAAGAAGAAGAAGATATTGGGGTGGCAAAAGGTTGGTCACAACAAAGGTTAGTTCTGTTTATTGAGCAAATGCCTAGTATGAATATAAGCAACCTAAGAAGCATACTTTTATGTTTAAAGAAGACATGAGTTGGTGGTGACTTCATCCTTCTTAAATGTGTAGAGGAAATTAAAAGTTGGTTATTTCTTGAATATTTGCCTTTTGTTTGAGTGAAAATAGGGGGTGTAGAATGGCCTCAAGAAAATTAAGGTTGGTCAAGAGAGAATATATAAGGGGGAGAATTGGAGGTGTCACTTTCAATAGACGCTAAGTGGTTTATTGGACTGCATGTGAGGACTATATAACTTGAAAGTGGATTTTTATGGAAAATATAATCTTGATTTTTTTGTATCAACAGTTAAGAGTTTGAAGTGGAAAATTTCACCTGTCACTTTGTACTTCCCCTGTTCAACTGCCACATATAACATTTTTAACATGTCTGATTGCTATTTTGAGCAAATTTTATATGCAGAATTTTGGAGTTCTACTGTACCAACTTATTCAACCTGTTCACATTTGGTGAAACAATGACACCATTTTTCTTTTTCATGGTTGGGTGATTTGTGCTAAATTTTACATCCTATGCAGTGCATCCTAATTTGAAAGTCATAATGGTTGCACCAAGATTTGTTGCAGTGGGAAGAGGAGCCTTGCGTAACTGGTAAAGTTGCTGACATGTGACCATGAGTTCACGGGTTCGAACCGTGAAAACAAACTCTTATAGAAATGCAGGGTAAAACTGCGTACAATAGATCCTTGTGGTCCGACTCTTCCTCGGACCTTGCATATTACCGGAGTTTAGTGCACTAGGTTGTCCTCTCTTTTGTAGTGGCTCTTTAAGTTTACTAGGGCCACACAAGTTTATCTTCCACAATGAGTAAGAGGCTTTAGCCATTGAGGATATTCACTTCACGTGGGAGTGAATGCATGTTTGTTTTCCTGTCTGTCTACAAGATGGCTTTCCAACTCGGATTTGACTTATATAAACTGACGGTGTAAAGAATTATTACACGATCCCTGTGTTTTAGTAGGTTGTTAAGGGTAACTGCTTTATTTTATAGGCATGCTAATCTCACTTTTTTAAGGATGGTTTCCTGTGGTTATCTTTTAGGTAACCTAGAAGGGGACCATGACCATAATCGGTAAAGTTGATGCCATATGACCAGAAGGTCACGGGTTCGAGCCGTGTAAACAACCTCTTGCAAAAAATGTAGGGTAAGGCTGCGTACAATAGATCTTGTGGTCCGGCCCTTCTCTGGACCCTGCGCGTAGCGGGAGCTTAGTGCACTAGATTGCCCTATTTTTTAGGTAACCTTATTGTCAGAAAAATATTTTACTTGTCAGTGCATAGAAGTTAAAATCGTTCAACTTTTGCATGGGATCTACTGATAATGTCAGGTATCTGTTGGATGGATTTGAGTTCTTGATATAGAGGGTTTGAAGAAGGGAGGCCCCTACTAAGTTACTTGCTGTTAGGTCTTATAAGTATGGCCAAGAGAAAGAAAAAGGAATCAGATTTAGTGGTGGTCCTGAGCTTGTCACTTAGGAAAAAGGGTACTATACATGATTTTCACCTTCTTTTAACAGACTTGTGATGGAATATTTGGATAAATGACACGTGAAAAGAAAAAAGAAACTTTCAGCTAAAAAATTGTTTGAATCGGTTATCTTTACTTATCTTTGAATATTTCTGAGGGTGAGATACATTTGCTTGAATTGACTGCTTGTCCAATTTTATTTTGTGGCTCACACAACTGAACATTTGTTGTGTGAGACTTTTTTTTCGTCTCACAATTTTGTGGACCAAAATATGTAAGATATGTGTCCACAAATGTGTGAGATAAAAAGAGGTCTCACACAACTATTGTCAGTTGTGTGAGGCCCTCCCTTTTTTTTTTTTAAAAAAATTCTGCCTAGGCAAAAATTTGGTATTTGAGTGGAAAAAAATATATGAGAGAATTCATTATTCATCGAGTTTCGAACAGTGAACTAGTAATCCATCGTTCTCGAATTGCGCTCCACTGGCCTATGATATTTCTCGATTATTAAAA